GGTTGTCAGGCCATCATCGACGGCTGACATTGACCCGGTCTTACTAGCCAGGGCGATAACGGTGTTGAACGCCGATTCTTTCAGGAAATCAGATGTAAGAATGGGAATAGCATCTTCCGCCGTGCTTTGCGGAGTCCTAGCGCAGTCAAGCAATTGTTCATAATCTGAAGACACAGATGCTTGAGCTAGTGCCTCATTCTGTGTCTGCTCGTCGTAGGCGGCAGCCAAAGCATGGCTCAATTGACGCTCTCGGTTGGTTCTTCTGTCTTCTGCCAGCTCTTGGATGGTATACAAGATCAGGCCCCATGAAAAGGCTGCTGGATTCACGGTGTTCAAATCACCGCATGCAGTAAGGAAAATCTCATTGATTTGAGAGATTTTATCCTTGCAGCAGAAGTAAGGCTGGGGCGAGGATTGCATGTATTCCTCATTCTGAAGGAAAGAGATGGCGCGAGCGGGTTTCAAAAACGCCAATGTGGTAAGTGACACGAAAGCTTGAAGGGGCAACAACACTTCCACGGGTTGCTGACAAGGCTATAAGAAAAGGTTAACATTCCGAGAGCTCAAAATAGGCGACTGGCCACTTACCGCTTGAATTGTCCCCAGGAAGCTATAATCAGCCATGAGCTGGAGCCAGGACAATAGGAGGTCTGCACTTGGAAATTCCACCGATGCTTGAAGCTGGTGAAACATGATTTGCACGATATGAACAATCTCCTCCACGAGACTTGTTCTCCATATGTTCTCTAGTTCCTCACTGCTTTCTGCGGCACTGAGCCAGCCACCGTCTCCTTCCAAACTCGTTAACCGACGGCGTATCGAGCTGATGCATTCTTGAAGAAATCGGTCCAATCCATCACCAGTCGACTTGTCATGGAAAATTGTGGTCCCTACCTTCTGCAAAGCAAGTTTGCGATCATGACTGGCGGGGGCGGTCGAGTCGGCTGAGATACCATCGTGGAGGGACAGAGCAAGCAGCTTGCGGAGTGTCTTTACGACATGGGTTTCCTCGGAGAGATACACCTCGCGGAGTCGCAGGCGCCTCTTCTCCTCTTTTTCAAATGATTGACCACCGTCGCTTCTGGCTGTTTGGTTCAATAGGTTGGCGAAGCTGGGACCGGCTAGAGAGCCTCGAAGATTCTCGGTCCCAGCCGCACTCTGTAGACTGGTCGCTTCCTCGCTGGAAAAGCCGATTGTGAGACGCGCTGCCGGGCGGTTCTGCCATTCTAAGATAGCGATGCGAAGAGCAGAAATCTCGTCGATTCCGGCTTGCTTGCTTAACCATAGCGTGTCCGCCTTGATCTCCTTCAGGTCAAAAGAACTTTGGCTATTGGTCTCAACATGGATTGCGGCGGTTTTGGATTCGAATTCCGACTTGGATTTTGCGGAGGGGGGGGGGACGGTTTTAGGCCATCAGAGAGTAGGCGAATGGATTCGGAGTGTGAAAAGAAGACATCGATATTGCCTCCATCATTAGCATGACTTTCGGGATCAATGGCGTAGAGAAAAGCTCTTTTCCATGACCTACATTATATCAGCATATTAGCTTCCATGACGACAAATGATGAGAGTGGACATACAAGAGTTGAACGTCCCCGGAGAAGCACTTGTCCAGGGACGGGAAATAGGCCTCCGGGACGGGAGCCATGTTGGGCAATTAGATCATCATAGGGTAGAAAGGAAGAGCGAAACGAGGCGACACCAGGAAAGGTGACGAGAGAGCAAAGAAAAAGGTAGATGGCGAGCGTGGGAAGCTCTTGAATTGAGACGGAGCTTCAAAAGAATATTATTCACCGCGACTGGGTCAACAATCAGGTGCCCTATCTGATCTTATTGCCGGGCGGTGAGTGGCAAGTAAGCCGGGACATTCTTTTTGACTCACTTCCGTCCAACTGGATAATTCGCAAACATTTGATTCGGTTTTAGGTGTCTGAGATCCGGAGCTTGCAGAATACCGATTCTCAAATTCTCCCAATCCTTTCCCCCGGGTCTCCTACAACAATCCGTGGTCATGGCGGACCTGGTTGACCACTCCCCCCACCATGCCACCAAAGCGGCCAAATTGGCCAGCGCATCCAACGTGATTTTGATTGACAACTACGACTCATTTACCTGGAATGTCTACCAGTACCTGGTTCTTGAAGGTGCTACCGTCACAGTATACCGCAATGACGAAGTCACTGTTGAGGACTTGGCTGCAAAGAAGCCTACTCAGCTGGTTATCAGTCCTGGCCCGGGCCACCCCGAGACCGATGCAGGAATCAGTAACGCCGCAATCCAATATTTCGGCGGAAAGATTCCGATATTTGGTGTGTGCATGGGCCAACAATGTATGATCACCTCGTTTGGTGGTAAGGTGGATGTGACCGGCGAAATTCTGCACGGAAAAACATCGGAGTTGAAGCATGACTCTAAAGGTGTCTACCAGGGATTGCCAACCTCGCTCCAGGTCACTCGATACCATTCGCTTGCCGGAACACAGTCGACTATCCCAGATTGCTTGGAGGTGACCTCGCGAGTTGAGCTGGGGGACGGTAGTGGCAAGAACATCATTATGGGTATTAGACACAAGGAGTTCGCAGTGGAAGGTGTTCAGTTCCACCCTGAGAGTATTTTGACGGAATACGGGCGCAAGATGTTCCGAAACTTCTTAGAGCTCACCACTGGGACCTGGGATAACAAGCAGGGAGCAGCCGCCGCCGCACCAGTAGACAAGAAGCTATCCATTTTGGATAAGATTTACGCTCATCGCAAAATTGCTGTTGACGAGCAGAAGAAAATTCCGGCTCTGCGGCCAGAGGCTCTTCAAGCCGCGTATGATCTGAACATTGCGCCTCCTCAGCTGTCATTCCCTGCGCGCCTGAGACAGTCAGACTATCCTCTTTCACTTATGGCAGAGATCAAGCGTGCATCACCCTCAAAGGGCATCATCTCGGCTGATGTATGTGCCCCTGCTCAAGCACGGGAGTACGCCAAAGCTGGCGCTAGCGTCATTTCTGTCCTCACAGAGCCGGAGTGGTTCAAGGGCACCATAGATGACCTGCGGGCTGTTCGCCAGAGCCTGGAGGGACTCACCAACCGACCAGCTGTCCTCCGAAAGGAGTTCGTTTTTGACGAGTATCAAATCCTGGAGGCGCGTTTGGCTGGAGCTGATACAGTTCTACTCATTGTGAAGATGCTGGACATTGAGCTGTTGACTAGACTGTACCATTACTCACGCAGTCTCGGCATGGAGCCCCTGGTCGAAGTCAACACCCCCGAAGAGATGAAGATTGCAGTTGACCTGGGGTCTGAAGTCATCGGTGTCAACAACCGGGACCTGACAAGCTTCGAGGTCGATCTCGGAACTACCAGTCGCCTAATGGATCAAGTGCCTGAGAGCACAATTGTGTGTGCCCTTAGTGGAATCTCGGGGCCCCAGGATGTGGAGGCTTATAAGAAAGAAGGTGTTAAGGCCATTCTTGTTGGAGAGGCTCTTATGAGGGCACCTGATACCTCCGCCTTTGTGGCACAGCTTCTCGGCGGCTCCAATCGAAAATCTGCTGGTGCTACACCAAGTTCCCCGTTGGTGAAAATATGTGGAACTCGGACTGAAGAAGGAGCTCTGGCTGCTATCCAAGCTGGTGCAGATTTGATTGGCATTATCATGGTTCAGGGGCGCTCACGACTTGTCCCAGATGATGTGGCCCTCGGCATTTCCCGGGTGGTTAAGTCGACCCCTCGTCCGGCCAATACATTGCAGCAGTCGTCGAACGCTACACCATTGGAATGGTTTGATCACTCTACTAATATCTTGCGTCACCCTTCTCGTGCTTTGCTCGTGGGCGTGTTCATGAATCAGCCGTTGTCATATGTCATTTCTCAACAACAAAAGTTGGATCTCGATGTTGTGCAACTGCATGGGTCTGAGCCATTGGAATGGTCTAGTTTGATTCCAGTTCCTGTCATTCGCAAGTTTGCTCCTGGTGACATTGGCATTGCTCGCAGAGCATACCACACTCTTCCATTACTGGACTCTGGTGCCGGAGGCTCTGGCGAGCTTCTCGAGGAGAGCGGGGTCAAAAAGGTCCTCGATAGTGACGATGGATTGAGGGTAATCCTGGCTGGAGGGCTAAACCCGGACAACGTGGTCGACACGGTGAAAAAGCTGGGCCAGTCGGGCCACAAAGTGGTCGGATTGGATGTCAGCTCAGGTGTAGAGACAAACGGCGCTCAAGATTTGGAGAAAATTCGAGCATTTGTCAAGTCTGCCAAAAGCATTCGGCAATGAACTGGTTAGGAACGTGTATTACACTACTTAGGATGACTTCTTATCTCATTCCATTTCGGGGTTGCATATCCGATAATGAACAATATCCATAGCAATCAAACTTACCTTATGATTTCTTTCTTTCTAGGATCACTTTACTTTGACTTGTTTGATCAAGGCTATACTGGATATCCAACAGGAATGAATTTTGATCCTTTCTTGGAGTAGATCTGCGTCTTAAATTGCCTTCGAAATCCCATTTTATACTTTCTCATCACTTTCACCTTCTAGAAATCATCATGCTTAGTGCATTCCATATCAACATTGCAAAAGCAGACCAAGTTGACAGCTCTGTGCAGTATATCACATTATTGCCTCGAAGTCTTGTCCCCTGGTAATAGAAATATCTCATTTCTGAGGTTCTTCTCGCACTTTCTGAACGACATCGCGGTCAACATCAGAGCTCAAACGAGGTTGGGCATCATCAAACTAGCCCTCTCAGTCATTATCTCTCAAAGACTTGCTTTCCAGCAATATACACACTTCATTTCTGACATATTGCCACAGCTAGCAAAGACTAATTGAAGCAAGCCTCTTGCCTATAAAACTGGTCCTTGCAGTGTTCCAGTCTCCCCTCCTGACAGCATCACATATCTCATCTTGAGGCCATTCTAAGTGGAATTTCCGCTGCCAGTGATACGGAAACACCAGACTCATCCAGTCAATTCTCAGACAGCAGTGTGAACTCAAAATGGGGAAGACGTTCCAAAGGATTCATGCCTCTATAGTCGGCAAGTTCCAAGACGGCATCGGCGAAAAGATCCCACAGTGGATTCGGGCAAATGGAGGGCAGTTCTCGAGAGACGTGAACCCGCGAGTCACCCATCTCATTGCAACAAAGGAGGCATTCAAGAGCCATGCAGTTCCAGGTATATTTACACTTGAATCATTCAAAGAGCTTAAGCTAATCAACAACATACAGTGGAAACTGCTAAGAATATCGGTACCGTCAAAATCGTCTCATATGATTGGCTTGAAGACTCGTTGCTATCAGACACACGCCGGCCAAAGCCTGAGGGGACATATCTTCTGAAGAATCTGATGAAGCCCGAGAATAAGGAACTCCAGAAGAACAAGGTCACACCGAAGTCTAAGTCCCCAAAGGTGGTGAAGGAGATCAAAGCAAAGATTCCGAAACGTCGGATAGGTATTGGTTTTCCGAAGCTCCATTTATTGCAGACGGTACTGATATGTCATCTACAGCCGATCCTTTCATCGACCCAAAGGGCAAAAGAAAGCGTAAGCACGATTCTCAGATGGCATATACAGGTCTAATATTTACCCATCACAGCCGTGCGTCAGGTTTACCAGGACAGAAAGACAAGTGTGGTTTACAGCATCACCTTATTCCGCCCATCAAAACCACCAGTCAATAGCAGGGAAAAATACCAATTGACTGTAAGTAATACTGAGATGTTTTGTGAATACTTTCAAGAAAAAGGTATTGAGATTACCTAGCTTTTTGAATCTACTGCCGAACCACACACCTACTCGACCTACGCCAAATTCAGTCGTGTTGGCATATCCAATGTCGAACTTCTTGCGGGGCCAAGGGGTAAGCTTGAGATTGCCGTGGACAAATTCAAGCAGTTCTTCAAGGAACAGACTGGCAAGGAATGGGACGGGAGGGCAAATGGAAAGATGCCACCCCCAAAGACAGACATGGAGGGAAACACGTTGCCTGTTCACGAGGGTTGGTTCTATCTCGAGGAAAAGACGACTATCCTTAGTGCATTTCTCAGGGAACCCCAGAGCACAGCCTGTCAAGGATCAAGCGACATCGCATGCGACGGTATCAAGGAGGATAGTATCGAGGAGAAGATGGCAAATCATCAAGTCAAGGATGGTGGTGAAGACGGATGTGAAGTTGATGATGATGATGAGGCGAAGAAGGAAATCGATGGGTAGGTACTTAAGGATGATGGCAATCCCTCCAGGTGGTTAACACCTGCGCTCATGAGTGAATTCCCCGATGCACATGGACAGGTCACGCCGAGAGCAGCTTTTATGCCGAATGCGATTTCGATGATTTTAGAACAGCACATAATACACATGCACTCTATTCTCGTGCTTTCAGAAAAGCTTCCCATGATAAATTATGAAACCAATCAGACTACATATGGATGGTGTCACGCTTAGACAAGTGCCGTCTCCTTTTATGAAACGTGAGATGGGGCTGTTCAAAATGAGTGAGATTCCAAGATTATATAGAAAGTTCTATAGTACTTGTGAGATTACTGTGCTGGGTGAACTGATGGCAGATATTCTCAAAGTACCGGTACAACTTAAATGAATATGAAATATGGCCAACGGATTCATCAGAAACAAATCCTTTCCCAACTTGTCGCATCCTTGGTCACTGTTTCCCATTGAGTAGGAGGACAGCGATGAGGCCTAATTCGCGAATCTCATCAAACTTGATAAGGCCTTCCATGTTGGCATGCTGGAGTTGATCAATTTAGATCTACGGGCAATATATAAGCTGCTAGCTGTCCGCCAAAGATGAAATTATATCGTCAGTAAGGCAAACAAACACGGGCTTTGTCCTACAACATCAAGGTGATAGAAGTAAAAGTGGGGGATGCGGGTCACGCTGCATATTTAGCCCTAGAAAGTCAATGGTCACTCCAGCTCCAAGGAGGGACCAGTATGCTAGATTGTTATACACATAGCCTCGTAAAGTACAGAGCGGCAACCACGGTCTCAAAAAGCTGCTGTACATGTCTTGAATATTTTGATTAGACATTCTCCACTGCCATTTAAATCATAACTAACTTACAAAAGAACCCATTCTAAGTGCCCTCTAACGCCATATACGCCAGTCGACCAACAAGGATGGGATGGAATTTTGCCTGAACCATCCACACCACAGCCTGATGCGAGTTCGTAAAGAATCATAGGTATTCCTTCTTTTTGCTGGTCCTCGTGTATTGGGTAAGGGCCCATTCGATGTCGCCGCTCGAGCCCTTCTCCAGAGTACCTCCGCGGATCTCGAAAAGGCGCATTGTCATGCGAGGTCCAACTTCAGCCAGTTCTACATCCCGGTACCCAGTCTTGACGAAAACATGGTGCCGCACTTCGATATTGTCGTCCTCGTTCACAAAGGTCACAACACGGTTGCCAACCTTTCCGGTCTCGCGCGGAGGGAAGAGGTGCTTCAGAATCTGAACAACGCGGGCACCCAGCTTCGTCTTGAATCCCTCAAAAACCAAGTGCGGGTAGCTTTCTGACACGGTACCACGGGCGGCATTCGGAATATCCTGACGAAGGACAACGTTGTGAAGGGAAAAGCTGGCAGTCGGGCCGTGGGGAAGATGTGAAATCGTGAGTGCAGTCGGGGTACCACGGTGTTCGTGGAGGAGAATCATGTCGGTCAGAGCCGCGGAGGTTGCGCTGGAGACGAGATCTCCAAGAACGAGAGTTCCACGATTGAGGCGAATGGAGGTAGGAAGGAGAAGGCGAATTTCTTTCGCAAATGCGCCGAGACGAGCGGAGGGTGAGCGAGATGTGGTAACCAGAGGACGGGGGTCGATAATGCCGGAGGTTAAAACATATTCATCATCGATGTCCATCTCAGCGTCTTCATTTCCCTTCGATTCGTCATATTTGAAGTCTTCCCGAAGCGATTTATCATTTGCAATTGTAGGATCTAGAGGCTTTCCAGAAGCCAATGAGGCCTTGAGTTGGGATCTTTTTTCTGCAATCGAGGCATCACGGAGTAGCAAAGCTCTCCGATAGAGATAATCCCGACGCTCGCGAGTTTGGCGGCGCTACTGATTGTAAGTCATAATGTCAAATATGTCAAATCTATCCTTCACTTACCAGCATATTGAAGATTGAAGTAAAAGTGGCTTAAGCAAAGAAGAGCGGGCAACTTTTTTTTTCTCTTAACTCCGGGGCTGCGTTTATGGTTGGTACGGGACGCCGTAGTGGGATCCCACCGATAAAGAATCTGGGCTGTTGGAGAACACTTTTTGCTCATCCTTCAAGACAAACTCATCGACTCTCTTTTGTCGGTCCTCTGACACAGAGAGCTGGACTGGTTGTATGTGCTCACCTGTCCTTCTCAATAATCTATCGCTAATCGTACATCTTGATATAGATCTCCATTCATTTGCCCCTCAGGCACACCCTGGAGATTTTAAACCTTGAACACCCCCATAGGACGACCGGATTGTCCTCTACGCTCCTTAAATCGCTAACGACTGCGAAGTTCATTTCTGATTTCAACTGCTTTTTGCTTCGCTTTTTGCTTTGAATCTTGATCAGCTCCAGTCATCCCTATCAGCGTTCCAAATCGGTATCCATAATGAGCTACCAACCGGAGGACCCCTCGGCGGGAGTTGACGTTAATGAGATTGCACTTGGGCGCGCACGTCCACGCCGACATGATGACGAAGATGAAGGCTCTGAAACCTTTGAAGATGACGACATGGAAAGCACAGTCGGTGTACCCGCAAATGGGAATCAGAAGTCCCAAGGAAATGGAGAGGAGGAAATAGAGCTCCCTGCCCATGCATGCGCGTCAGTGTTTATATTCCCTTAGTGGATCGCATTTACTGATTATATTATAGATACTGCGGCATCCACAACGCGAGCAGCGTCGTCAAATGTCTTGCTTGCAATAAGTGGTTCTGCAGTGCACGTGGCAATACTTCTTCGTCCCATATCGTCAATCACCTTGTCCGAGCTCGTCATAAGGAAGTCCAACTCCACCCGGGCTCTTCTTTAGGGGATACTATTCTGGAATGCTACAACTGTGGCACCAAAAATGTATTTTTGCTTGGCTTCATCCCCGCAAAATCCGATACTGTTGTTGTCCTGCTTTGTCGGCAGCCATGTGCCTCTATGCCATCCTCCAAGGACATGAATTGGGACACTTCACGATGGCAGCCTCTTATTGAGGATCGTTCTTTCCTCCCCTGGCTCGTAGGAGCACCTACTGACCAAGAACAACTCCGAGCTCGTCACCTCAGTCCTCAATTGATTGCGAAACTGGAGGAAATGTGGAAAGACAACTCTCAGGCGACTCTGGAAGACCTAGAGAAGGCCACCGCAGTGGATGATGAGCCTGCGCCTGTCCTACTTCGCTACGACGATGCTTTCCAATACCAAAATATCTTCGGCCCACTTGTTAAGATCGAGGCTGATTACGACCGCAAGTTGAAGGAATCTCAATCCCAAGATGGATTGATCGTGCGCTGGGATCTTGGTCTCAACAACAAGCATCTAGCAAGCTTTGTGCTACCTAAGCTTGAGCTAGGAGATGTCAAATTGGCAGTGGGTGACGAGATGCGCATCAAGTACAATGGTGAATTGCGTCCTAAGTGGGAGGGTGTCGGGTATGTCATCAAGATTCCGAACAATCAATCTGATGAGGTCACTATCGAACTTCGCGCCAAGGGCGACCACAAGTCAGTTCCCACCGAATGCACGCACAATTTTATGGCCGACTATGTCTGGAAGTCGACTTCCTTCGACCGCATGCAATGTGCTATGAAGACCTTTGCCGTAGATGAGCAGAGTGTCTCAGGATACATTTTCCATCGTCTCCTTGGCCATGAGGTTGCTGCAGCTCCTATGAAGACCCAGATTCCAAAGAAATTTAGTGTTCCAGGTCTACCAGATCTGAATGGCAGTCAAATTAACGCAGTTAAAAGTGTCCTCCAACGACCTCTCAGTTTGATCCAAGGTCCTCCCGGAACCGGTAAGACTGTTACATCGGCCACTATTATCTATCATCTCGCCAAGATCAACGGAGGTCAAGTTCTTGTCTGCGCTCCATCCAACGTCGCCGTTGATCAGCTCTGCGAACGTATTCACCGGACGGGTCTCAAGACCGTGCGAGTTACTGCTAAATCTCGCGAAGATGTGGAATCTGCCGTTGGTTTCCTTTCGCTGCACGAGCAGGTTCGCATGAACGATAGCAACATTGAGCTGGTAAAACTCAACCAGCTCAAGGCAGAACTTGGGGAATTGTCCAGCCAAGACGAAAAGCGCCTGAAGCAACTTACTCGCTCTGCTGAGCGTGAAATTCTCACTAACGCAGATGTGATCTGCTGTACTTGTGTTGGTGCAGGTGATCCTCGTCTTTCAAAGGGCAAGTTCCGCACTGTCCTGATTGACGAATCAACCCAATCTGCTGAGCCAGAGTGTATGATTCCTCTAGTTCTGGGCTGCAAACAAGTGGTCTTGGTAGGTGATCACCAGCAACTTGGCCCTGTGATCATGAACAAGAAGGCCGCCAAGGCCGGTCTGAACCAGTCTTTATTCGAGCGTCTCGTGATTTTGGGCTGCTCTCCTATCCGATTGAATGTCCAGTATCGTATGCACCCGTGCCTTTCCGAATTCCCATCCAATATGTTCTATGAAGGCTCGCTGCAGAACGGTATCACCATTGCAGATCGTGTCCGCCGTGACGTTGACTTCCCTTGGCCCATCATTGATGATCCGATGATGTTTTGGTCAAACCTGGGCAACGAAGAAATCTCCGCGTCTGGCACCTCGTATCTTAACCGTACTGAAGCGACCAACGTCGAGAAGATTGTCACGCGCTTCTTCAAGGCAGGTGTTCAGCCTAGGGATATTGGTATCATCACTCCATACGAGGGTCAGCGGAGCTACATCGTCAGCTCTATGCAGGCAAACGGCACCTTCAAGAAAGAACATTACAAGGAGATCGAGGTTGCGTCGGTCGATGCATTCCAAGGCAGAGAGAAGGATTACATTATCCTTTCTTGTGTTCGTTCCAATGATCACCAAGGTATTGGTTTCCTGAGCGATCCCCGTCGTCTCAACGTGGCCCTTACTCGTGCTCGATTTGGCCTGGTCATCCTCGGAAACCCCAAGGTCTTGTCTAAGCACCCATTGTGGAATTGCCTTTTGCAGCACTTCAAGGAACGCCACTGTCTTGTGGAGGGGCCGCTTTCCAACCTTCAGGAGTCCTTGATTCAATTCAGCCGGCCCAAGCAAGCATACAGAGGCCCGCAGCGGTTCCAGATGTCTTTCAGTCAGACAAATAATGGCCCAAATAATGCAGTGAATGGTCGCAACGGCGGTCACCGAAACGAGTATCATGACTCCGGGTCTGTGGTGGGCTATATCCCTGACGATGTGTCTTCTGTTCATGGCTCGGCACTTGGTGGTGTTGGCCTTCCATCTGGCTACCCCCCTATGTTCCAGAATTTTGGCGAGTCCTGGCCTGCGATCTCTGGCGGTCGTCGAGCGAACGGTGGCCGACCCAAGGGAGCCCCCAGTGTGGCTGGCGAGTCAGTAGCTGCCACTGAGTCCGATGTCACCTCCAGCGTCACTGACGGACGGAGCGTTGATCAAGGCGGTGTCAGTCTCACTGGCCTGAGCATTAATGAAATGGGCAAGCAGCCTAGTCTCAGCCAATCTGACCGGTTGAAGCGCTATGTCGAGTCTGGAGGACGCGAGCCTTACAGGGCTGGAGTTCCGGACAACGGCAGCATCTTCGGGGGCAGCTCCGCTAGCATTCGAGTGACTCGCGGCGTGCCGGGCCAAAACACGCACGACGACGATGATGCCCGTAGCGTCTCTACTGCTTTCGCTAGCCAAGTTGGTGGCAACTATGACTGAGTGACTTTTGTGTCCAACATTTCCCAGGGCAACCTTTAACAGGTTCGCCCGTCTTACCACTCGGCGAAGCAATGTCCGTGCATACTACCAGGGTTCTTTCCAGCAGAGTTTGCTCGCCCGTTTCTTTTATGCCGACCAGGACTTTGGATCGGCAACCCCAAGACTGTTCGGATGCTTATCCCCGGGTCCTTTTGACCTGCTACCAGAGCACCGTTCTGTCCGTCGAAGGATTGTTCCCTGGGTCTGAACCCTCACCATTGTCACCGTGGAATTTTTACAAGGCGTGACTTTCAGGGATGAAGCCACAGACAATGATCCTCAAGTATCTTCCGGTTGAAGGAATTACTGAAAACTCACCCGTCGATTGTCGATGCCCAGCTCAGATAACCCCGGTAGCAATTACCGGGCAATTCTGTGGATTTACCCCTACCCCTTGGCCATGTGTCATACTTGCTATCTTTATATCCTAGATAGTCAGGTATTAGCTTAAACAAACAATGCCAATTATGATTCCACCCTTCTTTCCGTATCGTAAGTAAGAAATAGACAAAAAACCAGTAAGAAGCCAGCTTATCTTCCGAGTTATCTAACGCTTCCGCCTATAAATGGATTATCTCAATCAGCCAGGGTATTCAACATAAACAAAAAAACCAGTTGATTAAACTGATTTGTTCCATAAAGATGAGCACACTACATAGGTACATGGATTAGTGACAAGATTTCCCATATTTTCGAAGACGCAGATAGTTATACGGCAACGGCGCCAAATACCCAGCACCGATCGATAACATTGCCGCCAGCCAGAAATTTGGATCTCCAAGAGCAACTACCCCACCGGTCAGATGATAGTCAACTGCATTCTCAGCTAGTTCCATGGCCAACATTGAAACCATACTCATGCCCATAGCAGTACGAGCAGCCATCGGCCAGGAAAGCTGGTCAGCCCCCCGGCGGAGCAGAATTGTCTCGAGGATAACTGAAGTCGTGATACCGCATGCCACTAGATGATTATTCTTAGCACGCAAGACCCAATACAATTAGATTCGTTCAAGGAGGCAACCCACTCGACATGGCCATTGTGCTGCTCATACCCATCTCAGGGTAGTAGGTCTGTAGGATCCATAGCGAGGAGAAATCACCGGCTGTACATCCCACCAAACAGCGGAGAGTATTGATTCCTGCTCGTTTCCAGGTGGATCTGCAGGTCCAAAATGGAAGACTGAGCGTCGGAAGGGGTTGCAAGGGCGGAGTTTTGGCACATTTTGGGGCTTGAGATAACTTTTTCTCGCGCTCGATGCTCTTTGAGCACTGCTTTTTCTCTGTATGGCAGGCTTGTGCACGAGTAGCGCCACTGAAGGCGCGTCTGGATGCCCAGCAAAGGTCTCGGCCCCGATGGAGTAAAAATGAATGGCGCATATTATTCGTGCCCTAGCGTGTTAGGATATTATTACAATTGGCACGAATGAACGTATGCAACTTTGGATATAAAAATTCGAAGGGCGCCAGGTTGTGAGGTTGGTGGAGCAGAGCATGGTTCCCGAGCCTGTAGCACAAATGCCGCAATAAAATAATGCCAGATGCAATTCACGTGCCAAACCACATATCGAAGAATGTGTCGATTATTTATATTGCTTGATAATTTCATGGCATCTTAGGATCTAGAATAACTGGCCGAAGAGAAAATGTAAGTAAAATATTCAGAATGAGCGCCGGATATACCTTCGAACTACCCGGTGGGGCTACGGAAGCACTAGGGACATCTCACCTTGACACCGCGATGAACTCATTGAACATTTGACGTAAATGTGGGTATCTGTGATTAATTACACCTGTGCCTGTTGGTCCACGTCGAACGGTGGCTACTTTAGCGATTTGGGCATCATCTTTCGGAAGATCTGGAGGCTATGTTGTAGTATAGTCCATTGCTTGGTCGAACAACATGCTCAAATGGGCAGCAATTTACTCAGAAATAGGCCAACGTGCATTTAGGCTTAGGTAGTATCAAATGCTGTTCTATTAATATGATAGAGGTGGGAGTTAGCTAGCCTTTATAATTCATCTCCTTGGTAGTTCTCCATGTTGTATGAAACAAATGACATACTATTCAAAAGTCCCTATACTGCTCTGTAGCATAGTCTTGGAGTAGAATAATTGCATCTCGCCATTCATTTTCTCTATAAAGATGGTATAAAAAGCTATATTCCCCGTGTGGCAAGTTTCCTAGTATTATCGATTCGTAGGGTCTTTTGTAGGCTCCGAGATTCCCAATATATTGGCCTTAAAGCATATCCATGTGAAATACGTTATTTCTAGGGTACATACTTTGGAATCCTGTAGAACGTTCGACATCCTTCTTAAGCGAGCTTGCATCGCCTGGTTGAAGTCGTCAAAGCCTACTAGGTAGAACCTTATCGTATTCCTTTTAATAGTAACAATCAACTGCATGGACGTGCAGTTCATTCAATTCTCAAGTTTGTCAAGCATAAAAAGTTTATTGTAGCCTAACATCGGGCATGGCGAACGTACATTGCAAAAAGGCACTGCCCTGGTGCTGCCCGATCCAATGCTTAGATAAGCAATTTATGTTTGATATGCACGTGATTTAGAATTGGACCAATCACTACTTATCACGTGAATTCACCGCCACTAAATTTGTCAGAATCTGTGGCAATATCAAATACTGTTCCACCTGAGCAGAGGACAGTGGACGGCTGCCTGACAGGCAATCTTGCTTTGATACCTAAATTGGGCCCGCCGACGGCAACAGGATTGGCCGTACTCCGTACATAGTACACAGTCATACCCACGGTATCCCTCTAGGGTATGAGTCACTTGCTTCCTTGCCCCCTCATCTCGATATCCGACCACCAAGCATTAATAGACGGCTTTCCACATCTTAACCCACATATATATAAACTCTAGCCAGTTATGAATTCATATGACAATCTAGTTGCCCAGAAACTCCACTAGGAAACGAAAGAAGCAAAAATTTGCTGATATAATAAGGCTTACTGCGCCACAGGGGTGGCGCATATGCACCTGACGCAAGCGGTATAAATAGGCTGCGGATGCCTTGCTACCTGAAAATTTTGGCAACTCCTCCATCTTCTCCCGAAGCCTTACCCATCAACATCTACTAGGCTATCACGGCCAATTTATTTGAATTTTTTCATAAACGACTCTATTCTTGTTGTTTCCATCGACCCCATTACTCTGTGTTTCTAAATTTACCGTTGTTGTGCATTGACGACGCGTCTTTCCGGTATCTACTTCATTCTATCACCATCCCCTCAGTAGTGTGGGGTATCAACTTCAAAATATGGGCGACGGGTCTGACTATCCTAGCCCACGAAGTGAAGGAATTGACGGTGTCCTCGCTGCGTCAATCCTCGCCTCTAAACCTGAATCCTCACCCCCAATTGCCAGAATGAACGACCCTCAGCAGCCTATGACCTACGGCCTCGAGGGCGCGCGCCCGCGCCTTTCTGTTCGACGCGCCCGCGATCCTCCTAAGAACTCTGAAGGTCAAATTTTTTGCGATCATGTTGAGTGTCAATCTGCGCCTCCTACTTTCCGGCGTCCATGCGAATGGAAGTAAGTAAAATGTCATATTGTTGTGTTCTGAACGCGCCCAGTACTAACAGAACTGTAGCAAACACATGGACAAACATGATCGTCCCTACAAGTGTTACGAACCTAACTGTGACAAAATCCAAGGTTTCACCTACTCTGGTGGTCTCCTACGTCACCAGCGCGAAGTTCACAAGAAAAACACCGACACCAAGAAGGCCCTGATGTGCCCATACACTGATTGCAACCGCAGCACTGGTAATGGATTCACGCGCCAAGAAAATTTGCGCGAACATCTTCGCCGCCGCCACATGCACAATGACGAGGCCCCTGCCATGGTCGATATGTCTTGGGACCGCCCCCCTGAACTTGAAGGTGTCGAGGGAGCCACGGGTGCCTCACCTCTCCCTATTGCTGGAATGAAGCGGCGCCACGATTCTCCCAGCGGAGATCTCCGGGATCTGCCTGTGACCGGAATCGATTTGCACAACGAAGTTAAGAGACTTCGCCGGGAAATCGAAGAGAAGGATCGTCGCCTTGAAGAGCTGGAGCGAATCGTCACCACTATTCAGCAGGCTATCCCTCAGCAGTCTCCTCCCGTTCCCGAACTCCAGGATCTTTCACAGCCCGCTCCCCAGTCTGCTGCGGCCCCTCCCGTTTAGGGGTTGCTTTTCTCGGATTGAAACGTCTACGGATTTGACCTATGCATCTTGTGGGCGTTTATCGAGGCAGTAAATGCGCTTCAAAAAATTTGCGACATTTCTTTCTTTTCGTTTTGTTTTGTGGTTTCTTTCTACTTTGCTTTCCCTCTTGTTTTGTGTAGCATTTGGGTTCGGTCTCCATGGATCTCCTCTGAGCACAAGTTGCTTTCTTTGCTTTCTGCAAAGATTCGAGAATTCAGGGAGACCTTCCTTCTTTACGGCGTTTTAGCTTGATGATTTCGTATGGGCCAGGCGGTGTTGTCTCCAGAGGCGGTTTACAGCGTTATTTCGCCTCATATACCCGGATGTTTGGTTCGATGTATCCTTTGCGTTACTCGCTTCTACCAACCAACTCCACGTTTAGTTCGCTTTGTTCCTGATTGACAAATTGTACGAATAATATCTTCTTGATATGGTCATATGTTTCAAATTATCCTATCTATACTCCGTAATCTCAAGAGGCCATCTGCTAACACTGAAACACGATGGATCTTCGTGGCATTGAATTCGGGATGCACAGCCGAAGTATAAGGCAGCCAATGATGTTCATGGACGTGAACAAGTATTTATTCCTGAGGCACCCAGGCTTCCACGCTATAGCGATGGTTCTCAGGCAGACATTTCAGCCACACCACTTTCAACTCGTGTCCCATCGCCTCGTAGACCCACGAAGCTTTCGCGAGACCTTCGTGAGCACGGCCGTCTCTGAGACCGTGCGGCCCCGCTGGCGGCATCCACATCTAGAATGTCGGAGTCGGGAGATAAGACCGCCGTTGACGGGCTCCCAACGGAGCCCGCTGCTTCCCACGGCGGCCTATAGGCTATGAGGCGTGATATTACGCTCGGGCAACGGATAGTTATGACTCCTTGGCTTACAGCACTAGTCTGTGACTCATTATTACGTGGATCGCGCGTTCGGCTCTCGACTCGACGCGAGCGAGATCATATGACGGACGGCATTGGTACGTTGGTTTCGTGTTGATCAGGTAAAACTCTCCTCCTGTCTTCATGTGGCTTTGAATGAGAGTTTGGAATCCCGTGAGATCTCATAGATGTGGGCAGTGCTCTAGGCAGAAGTTGGTTCTCTAGATTATTGGTAGTGAGAAAGACAAAACATATAGCACGCCATGTGTCCATGTATCCTTGTAGCTTGTTTCTTCTATTGGTTGCCTGTCATAAAACAGCTCTCTGGGTAAACGGAGATGAAATGCCAGGTTGGCAATAATGACCGACGAAAAATATTCTCTGGTGCAACGCATATATATCTTTACTTACTATCTTCTTGATGCCCGTCCCTGACTATGAAACGTGCACGGTTCGATATACTTAGTGACTTGTAATACAATAGCTGTGCATGGGCAGCCAAATCAACCCGCACATATGTATATCACATGTCATCTTGGAAGGAATGAGTGTTTCTTTCGTACTAGCGACTAAAGTGTCCTATATTTAGGAAAATAGCTGACACAGTCAGTCTTCTTAGCTTTCCAGATCGGCAAGGCTTACTAAGAGTCAAAATAAGGGGGTGTCTTAACCCCTAAATTGTCAGGTTTGGTGTTTCAATCTAGTATTGCCATGCTGCGCCGGGCCAGACCAAGCCGGGATGTTGGTAGGACGATAACTCTTTCTGTCAAGCCTGCTTTGGTATAAAGATTCCAAGTTGAGGTATTGATCACATCGCGTTTGTAGTTTTATATACTCTAGTTTTATATACTGTCAGCGTGTGGCTTTTGCCGGGAGAAAATGCAGGGTCTCAACAACCCTGCGTCGATATACAGGGCCAACGTCGTGTATGATACGGACTCTATATCATCACTGTAGCAGATTTATTGAGAGGGGTACAGTCAGTATATTATCATCAACATATTGTGTACAATCGATTGTATTTAGGACGTCTACGTGCTCGGCGCTCTGATTCCGCACTACCAACGATTTCCACAGTGATCATTATTCAACAAGTCTTGACGGAGACACGCTCCTGGAACAAAACAAGGGTGAGTATACATCTAGCCATCATATATATTTCTCCAAGTTCATGCGAAGAATTCTCCAACAATCAAGTCGAATACAGACCCGGGGGAGAGGGGGTTTATAGACCTTGATAGTGGAGTCGCCGATAACGATAAGGAAAAAAGTGCAAAATTCCACCCCACGTTGGATGAAAGACAGTCATATTCTTTACAAAGGACTGGACGAAACGAGTGTCTTCTCGAATATAATAATGCCTCACGCCCCACGTCAGGGAAACCGCAGGAGGTCTCCAGGCCCAAAAGCGAAAGCCCAAAAGCAAAAACAAGCGCCACCAGCAAACAAACAGCACGCCAATCGCAAAGCCGAAGTCGAAAAAGCCAAAGCCGAAGCCGAACAACACGAGGAAGAAGAGTCCTCTGGACTTAATCTTGTTAGCACAATTCCTCTTACCCTCCAGCAACTGCTCTTGGACGTATTCAAAACAGCCCTCCTGGGCAACCCAGTTGCAGAATCGGATCCTGCAAACCAGGATACCAACCCCACTGAATCGCAATCAGACGAAAATAAAGATGAACCATTAGATATTAAATCCCTCATCCAGACAATTAAGGGGCTTCTATATCAGCGCGATTTCGACTCTGCCTTCACCGAGGCAGGCGAGGATCTACTGCGCGCATATGCCCTGCGCTGGAGTGCGTCCCGGTCATTGGGATATGCAGGCCTGTTGAAAGGAGTTTTGACTTGGATGAAAGAGGAGGAGGAAAACACGCGAGGCCGTGCTAGAAGCAAGAATCCCTGCACCCGTGTTGTGTCCATTGGTGGCGGAGCCGGTGCAGAGATCGCTGCTCTTGCAGCTGCGTGGAGAGATATGGGGTCCCAAACCCAGTCACTAGAGGAAGGCGTTGCCAGCGTGTCTCTTGAAAACAAAGACACGGAATTTCAAGACGAGAAGAAGACAAAAGAAGGAGATCAAGGTGTCAGCGCACCTAGTCTCTCTGTCATGGCTGTCGATATCGGAAACTGGGCAGACGTTGTTGACAGGCTTTCACGAACCATCACTTCGTCCGATGTGCCATTTTCGCAGACAACAAAATATCGACCCCCCTTGCTCTCAGAGAAAGTGGCTAGTGAAACATTCTCTGTGTCATTCCGCCGCGAAGATGTCCTGACTCTTCCCGAGGAGGGCCTGAAAGAAATTCTCCTCGGTCCTTCATCGCCCTCTCCTTTCACTTCCATCCTCGTTCCTATCATGTTCACTTTGAATGAGCTCTTCTCTACCTCCATGCCAAAGACTACCGGTTTCTTGCTCAAAATGACGGAAATCCTTCCTGCTGGTGCGGTGTTTTTAGTTGTTGATAGTCCTGGCAGCTATTCGACTTTGAAGTTAGGGAAAGGACCGGACGGTGAACCACAGGAGAGGAACTATCCGATGAAGTTCTTGCTTGACCACACGCTGCTGTCTGTGGCGAAGGGCAAGTGGGAGTGCGTATACACTCAGGACTCGAGGTGGTGGAGACGGGACGCAGTGCGTCTGCGGTATGAAGTTGGCGAAGGAGCAGGCTTGGAAGACATGCGCTTCCAAATGCACGTGTATCGACGTTTGTAGATCTGATGTGTTCTATATCACGATATAAAATACCATGTAACCATTTAATGAGCAATACGATTGAGTCTTCAAATGTTCTTTCTAAAAGAGAAGTGGTGTGGAGTGAGGTATGGTATTGCTACAGATAGGAAGGTGGTTTAGTTCAGACCACTCCAAATTCACGCCACGAGGCAAGACTGGCCCCAAGTCGCGGCAAAAATTGCGATTAATTGGTACATTCAATGAGTTGTGAAAACGGGGCCCATAAATCCCCGAGACAGCCTTATAACCTCCTAACTCCGCAGACCGAGCAAGAGGCTAGTGCTCTTGTTTCCATCCTTTCCTTCTCCACCGGGCAGGTAAGTAACGTTGGGGTTCGAGGACAGAGTCTGGGCGATCTCCCTGCTGGCCTCGATACGACGGATCTCAATCAGTCCGCTGCCAGCCTTAGCGACGGCCTTGCTGATAATTTCAGCACTCAGGGCTTCACCCTCAGCGCGAATGACGTTGGCCTGGCGCTCCTGCTCGGCACGCTCGACGATGAATCGGGCCCGCTCGGCATCCTGCTGGGCGATCTGCTTCTGCTCGACGGCCCGTGTGAACTCCTTTCCGAAAGTCATGTGTGTAATGGAGACGTCCTCGAGGGCGATGTTGAATTGTCCAGCACGCTTCATCAAGTCAGTGCGGATACGGTTGGAGACAGCTTCACGCTGTGTGATCAGCTCGGCGGCGTCGAACTGGGCCACGATGGCCTTGAGGACTTCGTTTCCGATGGACGGGAGGACACGCTCATCGTAATCGGTACCGTATGACTGGATAACTCTGGGTCAGTCTTTCCCTGAGGTATCTGTTTAGAGATCATATGAGATACACACCTGGTAGATCTGCGGCAGCTTCGGCACCTCCGGGCGGTGCAACACACGCAGCGTCAAGCTAACCATCTGCAAATCCTTACTTCCTGTCGTGGTAGAGATGTTGCGAGGCTTGGTGCGGACATCGTAAACAATTGCGCGTTGCAACCACGGGATCAAGAAATGTGTTCCTTCGTTGACAACCTTCTCTTGCACACCAGACACTCGATCGAAGATGACAGCTCGTGTGCCGCCCTTGACATCGTAAAGGGAATTTTGAACTAGCATACCACCGATAGCCACGGGGACAGCCAGTCGATAAACATTTTGGAGGACTTGAGCCATGGTTGGAGGTGGAAGTCGAGTTGATGAAGACGGATGATGGAGATGATGTCTGCTTTTCCCGACGCTCACTCTGAGTGTTCCCGATTGGGTTTAGTGCCCATCTTTCCAAACCTCCAACTTCGCCCGACCTTCGTCTTTTCCTCACTCATTTCGCTACCTACATACCTTTTCCACCCACTCCTCTCTTTTTACTCGGAATCATTCAAAATGGGTCACTCCGTAGATCCCAAGAACGGCCAGTAAGTCGTTTTGCCCATGCTCCTGGCGTCGTGGATTGAGTACCGGCCTCCCGGATGCGTTGGCCGCCCGGCTACACAATTCAAAACCCTAAAGATGCCAATTGGGTCGGGCTTTAACAGCCTCTGCGTCTTCTGCGTCTCTCATTCAGTCAACTGACAATTTTTACTTCATATAGCTACATCGGCAACTGGGGAGAGTTCGGTACGTTCGACAATAACCCTTGAACCTCTACGGACCGGATGCATACGCAGGAGGCCCACCCCTTATGCGATATGAAAGATCGGGTCGATCTAGACATATCCAGAGGAATAAAGGAGATTGCAATTCGAGCGGATCGCTAATATCCATGTTACAGGTTGCCCGACCCCCCAGCGCATCGCCACCTACTCGCTGTCCCCTAACCGTCAGCGTCCCATGGCCGGTGCCGCCCACGCTGCTATCTTCAACGTCTTCCGTCGTTTCCGCCACCAGGTTCTCTACGTTGCTCCCCCTTCATTATCGCATACGTCGCCATGAACTGGGCCATTGAGCGGTAAGAATGCCCATAGGAGCCGCTTCGACTGTGCGCTAATTTGATGCTTTAGCAACGAGTTCCTGAACTCCAAGCCCGGCCGTCTTCTCGAGGGTGGCAATGAAGAGTAAATTATTTCATTATGTTTCGTGGAGTGAGGTTGGATTGGTATAACAGAGCATGAACACCCAAGACTCTGCACTTTGGGGGAGCTGTATGCTTGTACAGTAACTAGAAAGCAATCGACCGTTTGATTTTCCTTTTACCTACCATATTTTTGCGCTTGAAAGGGCTCTATTTTCTTATATTCAAAGGCAAGCCTGAGTAAGCGTCTTTCTAGGGCTCTCTATTGGTCCCTGAGGTGCCCATACCCAATTATGGGTATGGGGCATGTGTACCGGGTCGAATTGCAGTCAATTAAGGGTTACTAGAGGTAACCCATACCTATTATCTACATTAGAATGGGTTTCATCCTGTTTCTGAGGATATTGGGTGTTGGTGGCAGCACAGCAGCGGTTCCCCACTTAAGCCGAGAAGAAACAAAAAATTCGCCCAAAACAGCAAAACTTCCGCCGTGCCCTTTTTCTTCGAATGCTTCGTCTCCCCAGACTCTCTTCTGCTTTCTACTCATCATCTAAATTTCTCCGTTGTTTCTCTTCTTTCTCTATCAAAATGAGCGAGCTCACCCACCCCACCATTCAGGGTACGTGTGAAGCCCCTCCATTACCCCGCCTTCTAGTCAATTTGCTGCAAGAACATGCTGATGCCCATCTACAGATGGCTGGTTCTCTGAGAAGTCCGGCATGTGGCCTGGCCAGGCCATGAGCCTCAAGGTTAACCAAATCATCCACCACGAGAAGTCTAAGTACCAGGATGTCCTCGTCTTCGAGAGCAGCGACTACGGTACCGTTCTCGTCCTGGACAACGTTATCCAGTGCACTGAGCGCGATGAGTTCTCCTACCAGGAGATGATCACCCACCTCGCCATGAACTCCCACCCTAATCCCGAGAAGGTCCTGGTCATTGGTGGAGGTGACGGCGGTGTCCTCCGTGAGGTCGTCAAGCACGCCTCTGTCAAGGAGGCCACCCTGTGCGACATCGACGAGGCTGTCATCCGTGTCTCCAAGAAGTACCTGCCCGGCATGGCCATTGGCTTCCAGCACCCCAATGCCCACACCCACGTTGGTGACGGCTTCGAGTTCCTCAAGAACCGCCAGAACGAGTTTGATGTTATCATCACTGACAGCTCCGACCCAGAGGGTCCCGCTGAGAGCCTCTTCCAGAAGCCCTACTTTGAGCTGCTGAAGTCTGCTCTTCGCGATGGAGGTGTCATCACTACCCAAGGTTGTTCGTCACTTTCTTATTTTCTTGCCCAATTCCTTCCTTGATTGCTCATTCCCTTCATCTAATTATCACACCAAAAAAATTGACCACATGCTAATTTCTTTCGCACCACCCCGCAACCAACCCGCTTTACGGGCTCGGTTTTGCGGAGCTGTGCTTTATATCTAACAGCCGAGAACCAATGGCTCCACCTTGACATGATCGCCGAACTTAAGAAGTCCTGCAAGGAGGTCTTCCCCGTCGCCGAGTACGCCTACACCACCATTCCCACCTACCCCTCCGGCCAGATTGGCTTCATGGTCTGCTCCAAGGACGCCACCCGCAACGTGCGCGAGCCCCTGCGCACCTGGACCGCTGAGGAGGAGCTGAAGCTCTGCCGCTACTACAACCAGGACATCCACCGCGCCAGTTTTGTTCTGCCCAACTTCGCCCGCCAGAAGCTCGGTAACTAAATCTCGCGATTTTTGAAAAAGCTTTTATGGTCTTTATATCCTCATGACGATATTGAAATGAAATGATGGATTTTCGTATATTCTATTCTCTGTCTGTCTCCGTGTAGTCCTGCTTTATGCTGCCTAAGTGTTTTCTTATAGATTTCATTGTGCAAGACCCGATTCTAAGGACCCCAGAATTTGGAGTGTGTTGGTGGCAAAACCCCGGGGTAGGGTTGCGGCCCGATTCATTAGGTCACCCATGCTAACTAATGGCTTGTTAAACAAATCTCTTGCAACAAGCACCAGACGGCGGTTAATGAATCCGAGTCTTCAATGTCTGGTTCCTCCGGGCCTTTGAACATTGAACAGTACGACGGCAATGATATACGGCGATGATCCAAAGTACTTCTTGTGAGACATGTCTTCATTGGACGTCAAGATTGATAACCTTGGAATCTCCGCGGAAACGAGAGCCGATTGCATTAAAGGTGAGGTTGATAGGGCTGACACACCTATACGGCAGGTTTACATCATGGCTTCTGTTGATTTTTCCTATAAATATTCAGCAGCAAGTCGCCTCCGTACTGGAAAAGCAGATTTAGTTCAATTATTTTGCTCTCAATTGCCCTCTGATCTATCACAATGAAGATCTATGAGCATTGCGTTCCATTGACTCTTTCTCTCTTCCTGGCGACCCCGATCTTCGGGCAGAGATTTATCAATGCCACGAATGGCATAAATCCCACGAATGGCACGCAGAATGGACGCCTGTGTACGTCCGATGACATTGCCAGAAGGGACGTGAGGGGCTGTACATGCCCTTCGACTTTCCCAGCATCACCCAATGACCTGGTATGCATTACACCATCGGGACAATGCCCTATCACCTGCAACCCTCCACCCCCGCCGTCACCCGTGATACCGCGAGCACAGCTCTCTCAATGTGACGCGGGCTGTGTCGACGCCAATTCCGAGTGCAACGGCTGCTTCATCTGGTTCTCCAGTCTGTGCCATTGCCTTCAAGACTTCCAATCCGGAAACCAGACGACTTGCATCGCCAGCCCTCCAATTCCCGTTGGCCCGCCTCGGACCAACCAGTCAGCTTCGTGGGTGGTCCTCAGCAGTGGAGACTTGATCACCACGACGGACTTGATCCCCGGCATTCTGCAATTGAGCTCCGCTGCTGACGTGGACGGGGGCTTCCGCCTTGGTCAGGATACGCTCAACAGCAGAGGTATCAGGGACACAGGAACACTTGCCATCAACAGTGTCGCCACTCGTTCCGAGGAGCAGATTCATATCCAAGTCTGTGATCATCCTGGAAGTTCTGTGCGTCGTATTCTCAATAACCTGCCTCGGGAGAATTACAACACAACATCGCCGGTCGACTTGTCCGCCCTATCTCAGCCGAGTGCTGCTATGTCTTGCCGGGTGTCGCCTAACGCGGGTCAAGACATCAACTTGGGCGGTGATATTGTTGATTGGCTAAACCAGTATGCTGGTAACACGACATGTGCTCAATATAATGTCGGTGCTGGCGTTGTGACTGATAGCAATGATTACTCTTGGTCTTGTATTACCACGGGTGATAGGGCTGCTGAGAATCTGTTCTGCAGTGATTAAAATTTGGATATCGAAGGCTATTATTGAGTCTTGGTATTACTTTACAAAATTTGGAGCAGTAGATAGATGGATAAATTTCAAAGGAGCGAATCTAAATTGAGATTATTAGCAGGACTTCACAGACTAGAAGCGTAAGTTAGACAGCACCTACGTCAGAGTCCTTATGAGGCTCAATGCCGATTTGTAGCCTTATTCATGAGGCCTTTGACACCAATTACCTACTGGAAGGAACCTTACAAGTTTCGTCATCCTTACTATGCGAGCGGGGAGACGTTAGTATTTCCCGACAAACATCCTCGGTTAACTATCCTTAGGATATCAAATTGATCTAGAGAAACTATGCCAGGACATGGAAAAATACTCCGACTAGATGGAAATAGAAACCACTTTCTTAAACTTCCACCCCACGATCTAGATCTTCCCGTCAATGGGTCAAATAACGAGTCAGGCATACATATTCCGAGCACCTCACTTCTAACAGAAAGGAGATTTTCGATGAATGCTGCCCTCTCGGTTGCACTACCTAATAATGGAAGGTTGGTCTCCGCCGATATATATTGCCAAAATCGTTGAGATTGTTACATCATGGACTCTTCTTCGGATCCATTCATCCATTGCAACAAAGTCACGCCAATGTACTGCTGGCTATGAACATCAGTCTATCTCCGCAAACATATACACAGACTCTGCTGTATATTTATGAGGTCTCCACCTTTTCGTAATTCGAAGAGAGATATGGTGTATTAAAATACTCTCGAATCTGCACAGATAAGTTGTCTCTAAGCCCTTTGAATAGATCTATAGTACTTGAATATAATACAAAGAGCAGATTCTATGTATTCAAACTGAAACTGTATAACAGGAGCGATCATCTTATCATCTAATTGTCAAATCTTCAGTTGCCTGTCCGACGCAGTACCGATCGGTTCAGATGCTTAGGAGACACGGAGCTGATCCCCGACAGGTGGAGGGTCAGATTGAAATCTCCTAGGAGACTCTTCAGCACATGGCGTACTCCCTGCTCGCCTTGAATGGCCAGCCCATAAATGTATGGACGACCAATCAGGACCATCTTTGCACCAAGCGCCAATGCCTTTATAATATCGGCACCAGATCGAACACCCGAGTCATAGATGATTTCCAAATCATTGCCCACGGCATCTACAATCTCCGGCAAAACATCCAAAGACGCAATGCCTCCATCCTGTTGGCGTCCGCCGTGGTTCGAGACAACAATTCCCTGCATGCCATACTCGACAGCCTTCTTCGCGTCCGCCACCGTCTGGATTCCCTTCAGAACAATTGGACCGTCCCAGTGTTCCTGGAGGAATTTGAGATCTTCCCAGCCGTGACTGAGACCGGGGAATACGGTGTGTGCCCATTCTGCGGCTGCTGTTTGGACGTCCTCTTCAATGGGTTTCCCGTGCTTCTCTTGGAACTTGCGGCGGTATACAGGGTCCGAGAATCCGAGTGCCACACCAATGTCGTCTGCACGAATGAAAGGGTTGTATGCATTGTTCAGATCGCTGGGGCGCCATCCAAGAATGTACGTATCCAAGGTGACGACCAACACCTTATAACCGGATGCCTTCGCCCGTGACAACAGGCTCACGGTGATATCGTTGTTCTCACTAAGAGGCCAGTAGAGTTGATACCAACGAGATCCGTTTCCATTGGCCTTGGCGACGTCCTCGATGCTCGTAGCAGATGCGGTGCTGAGGATGTAGGTGACATTTTCCTTCTCGGCAGCCTTCGCCGACGCAATCTCTCCGTCCGGGTGGAAAATTCGCTGCACGCCCACTGGTGCCATGGCGATAGGATAATCGAAAGTCTCTCCGAAAAGTGTCGTTTTGAGGTCTGGGAAGCCGCTCTTGACTAGACGTGAGGGCACGATTCCCCATTTCTTGAAGGCTTTCTTGTTGTTGTCGTCTGTCTCACGAGTTCCAGCCGAGCCCCAAACATATCCGAAGGAATCTGCCGAGAGACGATCTTTGGCCAGGGTTTCCCAATCGCCGCAGTTGAAGGTTATCGGCGGCTTCTGGCCCGAGAGACCGGCTTCGTACACCTGGTTTTCGTATGTAAATGGGGCCAAAGGTTGAGCAATGGACTTGCTCTCCAATCTGCTGTCCTGCTGAGGTGACATGATTGACGATGTAAATAACAGAAAAGTTGAGAAGAGTTGGTGTAAATAGACCGTGGATTGTAGATGAATATGGCGGAAATCGGGGAATAGAAGCTGCTTTTATACTTGCGGAACTGCAAAGCTTGAGATAATAATGGAGCTCTTCGAAATTGATTATAATTGGTGGGTTCGTAGTGTAGCTACAAGCAGGTTCGGACTTTATTGTCATGTATGTTCGGCCGAGATTCATCGCGACGTCATCTCGTTGAATAGCCTTTTCATCGTTAACAACTTTGGTCCGCCACGATCCGGGGAGACACAGATACTTTAGCTTCTTTCTTATCCTTGCATAACAACGATGAATTTGCTAGCCCTAGATATTTTCACATATTACTAGTTTATCCTGGACTGTGAAGGAAGGCATGCGGGTACCTAGGCTGCAGGTTCTGAATAAGCAGGCCCTCAAAGCTTGTCATCATCGTGGCGAAAAAGAAGCTAGCTACTAGAAGAATAATGAGAAGCTTGTATGGATTCTAAACCCGAAAGATTTATACACTGGGCACTCACCGAGCGCCACGGCGACCGGATAAGTCAACACAAAATACACCATGCTAGCCCTATGCACATACAATTGTGAGTTGATTGATAAGAAACTCTTCGATTTGGCTCCATAAATTTCATCATGATTCAAGTTTTCGGTGTTGCCGACCCATCATAGCTCTCTCGGTATACCGTTGCGGGTCGGGGGTTCGTAGAATGCGGGGACCGAACTATTTGTGCGCTCCCAGGGTGACTAGTTATGTACATAGCTGACTGAGAAAGCTGCTGCCACTCTCTCGGCCGAGAACGACACAATTCTGTCAACAAGCATCCGGCCGAGAACCACGCTCCAGGAAAGCGGATGTGGCATGCGAGTGTCGTATGATAGTTAACTACTCCGTAGTCACGATCTTCCTTCGTCATCATTCGAGAAAGCGGAGCTGAAACAACCACAATATAAGGATACAACATACGCAGTGGCTCGGACTTGAGATGGTGACCACAAATAAGCTTTGAGGCTGAACCGGGAGTGGGGTAGACCCGTTGTTAGATCTAGGGTAATCTCACAGTTGGAAGACAAACGACAACAAACACGCCAAGTTCATGGTTCATGAAATGCGGGACTTTGCCTGAGTGATCAGTGAATTGGAAACTTCCGGTTTTGAAATTGAATGAGAGGCCATTGGATTAGGCCTAGCCGATTGAACCACGCTTATCGAGTAGAAGATTGGCCATTTCTCGGACAGCTACTGGCCTATGCACTACCCCATGTTAGTATATTACAATCCATTCCTGAAGCAATTCTTCAGCAATTACCTACTTATGTCAATTGGCGTATCAAATCGATTGATCTGACCATGAAGCTATATCGAAGTGAGCATTTTTTTTTTGCTTCTGGATAGCTTCAATAACTAGCAATAACCTACTCTCTTGCCATAGATATTCTTGACCCTGGAACAAATTAGTGGCATATTAGGAATAATCGATGCGTGTTGCCCAGGTGGGAGGTTGATTCGTCCAGACCGTGCTGAGTAATCCACCTGGGTAGGCCCGACGTCAGAGTGCCAAGATCGTTCCCACTGCGGAGTACCACGCAATTATCTCCGACATCTGCGGGTTGGTTTGTCCCATACGTAACTCTTTGATTATTTCCATGTCAGTTCTACTTGGTCACTGGACGGAATTAATGAGAAGAGACGGATAAATTGTCAAAGCACGCCGAATATGCAGCCTGTGGTGGGGCCCTCCAACCCGTCTAGCACCCAACCGCCAAAGTCGCCCTCGGCGCCAGGAAATCCACACATTACCCGAAAACGTGTGATTTATAGCTGTCAAACATGTCGTCGGCGCAAAGTCAAATGCGACAAGGTAATCTTCTCTGGCCCAGGAGCAAGTTGCCTGAACTGAAAATTTCTTGTTAGACACTCCCAGTATGCGGAAACTGCGCGAAAAATGGTACCGAATGCGCCTACGATCCGGAAATCCAGAAAGATGGGATGCGGCCCAAACGTACTCGCCGAATGAGAGCCAAACGGCAGAGAGATATTCCACAGTCGGAGGAAAATACAGATGAACCCCTGCCGATCTATGACCGAGCGAGGCAGGGATCATTATTAAAAGGCCAAAAAACAGATTTAAGCGCAGTTGAAGCCCATTTGGCTCAACTAGTATCGCTCGTTGAGCGACTACGGAAGGATAACCAGGCGAATGAATCGACAGAGATGCAAGCGGCTGCATTAAATACTGGCGTCCAAACGGCGCCGATGGAGGACGGCGGTTTGGGGAGCAAATCGATCGTCGCGCAACCGCCCAGTCCATTCAGCGCTGCTGCTGACTGTAGCAGCGATGACTTCCCCATCCCAAATGGCCAGACTACGGATCTGGTTGATCCACTGGGAACTTCAAACTTGGGCCACATGTCTTTGGGGGATGGCGGGAGGTCAAGGTCAGTATCGACACACTAGGCTAAAGTGCGATTGAGTTTCTAACCTTGGGTTTAGATATGTCGGGACGACGTATTGGGCTTATATTTCCCATGAAATGGAGGAGCTCAATCAATTGCTCGGAAACCAGAATCAGCCGCATGATATAGCAACCTGTAGTAATACCCCAACCGATTCCGTTTCTAGCAAGCAAAGACAGCGGAAAGGATCGATGAGCAGCCGAACTACGAGCCGAACCACGCGCTCTCCCTTTCCTGTCGGCTTCTCAGAACCCATTCAGAAAGCCGTTTGCATCCCATCGGCCTATTTATCACCAAATGATAAATCGGTCGAGCCATATATGCTTGAGCATGTTCCGACAAAATGGCAGAGTGATATCCTCTACAAGGGATTCATGTCTGGTGTCCACTCACTGAGCCCTATTGTTCACCCTCCAACGATCCTAAGACGTTACAAAGCCTTTTGGGACTGGTACGACGGCAAAAGCTATACGGGGGAGCCATGCCCTAGTTCTTCTTTTATTCCACTCCTATACGCGATATGGTTTGGAGGCTCAGTCACAATTTCTATGAGAACGATGGAGACGGAGTTCAATACTTCGTCACGCGCTGTCCTCTCGACAAAGTATAGCGAGGAGGTCACCTGTTGGTTGGCCAAGATCTCGTTTCCCCACAGCGTTACACTTCATGGTCTGGCGGCCTATCTTGTTGCGCAGACAATTTTGTCAAGAGAGGAAGAACCTTTGGCAAGTAGTTTGTTTGTTAGCTTAGCAGTGAGAGTGGCACAGACCTTGGGATTACATCGGGATCCCGCCCATTTTAATATCGACCCATGGGAGGCAGAGTTCCGACGCCGAGTGTGGTGGCATATCATGCATATGGATGCCGTTATTGCGATGTCGAGTGGGCTTCCGCCATTGCTTACTGATACGACTTACTGGGACGTTCGCGAGACCAGCGAGGTCAAGGATACCTTATTAGGTACTGCCGAAGCCAAAAGATATGAACAACAGGTTGCCGACGGCCAACGGCCACCTGATAACCCAGACAATCCGACTGTCTGTGGTGGGCCGTCGATGGTGAATGTGTATTATCTGAACGCAAAGGCAAAATGCATAATGGCCCGTGAGTGATCTTGGGTCTAGATGTTAGGCGCGTGAGCTGACCTCCTCGCAGAGTCTGTTCGTAAAGTACTAAAGATTCAGCTGGGTACGAAGCCTCTAACAAGAGGGGATATGCTGGAGCTCCGCTCTGTCCTTCACGATCTTCAAGTCAAACTCAACTCCATCATAAACCGAATTCCAGAGACAACGGCAACCGAAAGAACAATAGTATCTCCAAAACGAGTTTCTCATTCTACCGAGGCGGAACTTCCTATTGAAGGTCCATCTGGCTGCCCGGAGCAATATCATTCAGCAGTCCTCGTCGCATTTCATAAATGGACCAAGATCATTTTGTCATTGTTCATTGATAAGGTCGGTATTTTAATGCAAAAATTCCGTGCGGCGCTAACATGGGATGTAGGCATTTTGTGTTGCGTATCAACCATTCCTCAGGAATCCTCGAAGTCGAATCTGGCCAGTAGCACGACAAAGGTAAGTGTCGCGACTCATTGGGCTACTGGATCTAATTCAAGTAGTGCGCTACGCCATTGCTACGCATTCATGGAGAAGTTTATTCGACTGGCAACGGATCCTGACTTTCAGCCGTTCCAGTGGGGCTGGCCTGGGTGAGCATTCCGACTGTTCAAATCAGAATTTTGACTAATGATCACCAAGGAACCATCAGCCCATGCATGCAATGATGTATGTCGAAAGCTCGACTTAAGTGGGCAAGCTAACTAGATCTAGGATTATTCTTATCGACTTGTACGAACGACCATATAGCCCCGAAGCCTCCGTGTCACGCGGATTTGTCGATCAAATTATGTCGCTCTGTGGACCAGACGGAGGTGTCGTAAGTGGTGGAGATGACATCTTCACACAACGCCCGTTGAGGAATGGAGGCCGCGAGGCCTGGGGCATGATCCGTCGTCTGCGCCAACAGGCCTGGCAGAAAGCCGGTCTGAACCCAGAATTGCCCTGGACGGGGCAAGATCGGTCAACCAATTTCGCAAACGCACCTTACTTCAAATCAATGTCATCCGCAAATATCCCCCTATCGTCAGGCGACAGAGCATTTGCTCCCGACTCAGCCTTTGGTCGTTCCTCCGCCGCTACTATGTCGAGTCAACAATCCCTCGTTAACTCTCCTATGGTGAACTTCTTGGACACCGCCGGACCGAACGCAATGCCTGCTTCTGAGCCTGCCCCCTTCATGATCGATCCAGGGCTCAATTTCGACTGGGGTGAATGGGATAATATCTTTGGGCAATCTTTACCCGTCGCGGATGAGCTTATGGAACTCGATCAAGTCACGGGGCTTGCATTTGCGGACTTGGAAAATAGTGCCCCGTCCGAGCATAAGACGGAGACAATATAAATATACTAGGTCTCGTTTTTCGGGCTGCTCTGCATCCAAGCAGTATACCGCCCCTCTTCTGTGGGCTCTATTGTTCTATGTCCTGTGGCATACTAGTTGGATTTTCATGACCTGTGATTATTCAATCTTGACTTGACCCTAAAATGGAAATCGAGTGACCTCAAGGAATGTCAAAACCTACTCGTAGAGTCATAGTTCTACACAACATCAAAAATAGTAGAACATCCAGAAATATATAAGGTAGATACGCGTAATATCTGACTGATTCCATACATTGATCTTACCGGTTTTAACGCGACACCAATTCGTCTTGATTCAGTTCCTCGTCATATTGTGTTGGGAGTATCATGAGAGCCTAGGCACGACAGACAATCCCCTCCCGAGGTCCGCCAGCCGCCGCCGCATGGCGGCGCCGCATAGCCCCTCCAGTCCCCACTTATCGGCGGACCTCCCCGAAACTACCTACATGTAGCTATCTATAAGGTCCTCTTTCTCCTCCTATTCCAAACACCTTCAAGAAACCGAAACCTCCGAAATCCGAAAACCATGGCCACAGAATACCCCCACCGAATCGCCCTCTTGGGCCTAGGCACAATCGGCCTCTCAATGCTAGCAATGCACCTGCGCCGCCCCGACACCAGCATAACAGTCTACGACCCACGCCCCGACTACGAGTCCCAGATCCGAAGCACGCTCCCCTCCCTTCTGGACTGCCCAGAATCAACCACCATAATCGACGAACTGATCAGCACATCGCGCCTGAAACTAGCCACCAGCCTGAGTGTAGCGCTCGAAAACGCGACAATCGTGCAGGAACAGAGCCCGGAAAAGACAGCTTCGAAACAGGCGCTCTGGAAGGAAGTTGCTAGTCTCTCTAGCCCGCATGCACACCTGTGGAGCAGTTCGTCTGGGATCCCCGCGTCGGCGCAGGCAGCCGGGTGCGAGGGTGTCGCTGAGCGGTTGGTCATCGCGCACCCGTTCAACCCGCCGCATCTGATGCCGCTTATTGAGGCTGTGCCTGGGCCTGAGACGAAGGCTGAGGAGGTGGAGTTTGTGAAGAAGTATTTCAGCGAGGTTCCTGGGCCTGGGGCTGCTGTTGGTGCTGCTGGTTCGAGTGCAGATCCGTCGGCTAAGCAGCATTATCGACCCGTCACGCTGAACAAGGAGATGCCTGGGTTTGTCGGGAATAGACTTGCTTTTGCGCTGCTGAGGGAGGCGTGTTATCTTGTTGGGGAGGGGGTTGTCTCGGCGGAGGATTTGGATATTCTTGTTAAGGCTAGTTTGGGCCCGCGGTGGGCTGGAAGTGGTGTGTTTGAGAGTTATCATGCTGGTGGTGGAGAGGGTGGAATTGGGGCATTTTTCCAGAAGCTTGCGCCGACGATTCAGGATGTGTGGGGTGACTTGGGCCAGATTGATATTGAGGGCGAGCAGCCGTGGAAGGACTTGGTTGTTAAGCAGACTGAAGATGCTTATGGGACTTATACTCTTGCGAAGAGGACGAAGAAAGAGGAGATGTTGAGGGATGTTCTGGAGCTGCAAAAGAAGAACTGGGAAGAGTTGTGATTTAGTCTGCTAGATATTAATATACGCATCTGATTACTCTGTTAAAGTTACTAGGTTGATAAGTGAACAATAGAGTGCTTTATTCGCATTCTTGTATATCTAGATGGCTGTTGCCCTATTAAAAAAACCAAAACATTTTGTTACGTCATATTCGTTCCGTCCCTTACAGGATCTGCTGGAAAGCACGGTTAATAGGCGAGCGCACGGGGACGCCCTTGTAGAAGTCGATGGTGGCAAGAGCACGCTTGCTGATGCCCTCGGGGGTGAACTCGAATTTCTGCAAATAATTAGTAAATGATCATGGAAAAATAAGCGGAGATAACTTACAGCGTAAACCTCCTTGTAGGGACCGGAAGCACCGAAGCGGTTCAGACCGAACTGCTCGTGTGAGTAGCGCTCCCAACCCATGGTGCAACAGGCCTCGACCGACAGCACGGGGATGCCATCTGGCAGAACCTGGAGACGGTACTCCTTGGTCTGGGAATCGAAGACCTCGAAGCAAGGAATGGACACAACACGGGCAGCAACACCGTGCTTCTCCTGGAGGTATGTGGCAGCCTCAATGGCGATGCTGACCTCGGAACCAGTGGACACGATAGTGACGGCAGCATTGGGGGTGTCGACAGCGACGTAACCACCCTTCAGGGCGTTCTCGAGAGAGGAGAGCTCAAGCTGGGGCAGGTTCTGGCGGGTCAGAGCCATGACAGTAGGAGTGTGCTTGGAGGTGATGGCGGAGTAGTAGGCAGCGCTAGTCTCGTTGCCGTCAGCGGGACGCCAGACCATGCAGTTGGGCATGGCGCGGAAGTGAGCCAGAGTCTCAATAGGCTGGTGAGTGGGGCCGTCCTCACCCAGACCGATGGAGTCGTGGGTAGCGATGTGAATGACACGGACGCGGGACAGAGCCGACAGGCGGAGGGCACCGGCGGCGTATGAGACGAAGTTCAGGAAAGTACCACCGGCGGGGATGATGGTACCGTAGGCAGCCAGACCGTTCATGACGGCAGCCATGGCGTGCTCACGCACACCGTAGCGAACGTAGCGACCGGCCCACTCGCCGATGCCAAGGTCAGGGGGCTGGAAGTCAACGGCGTTCTTCCAGCGGGTGTTGTTGGAGCCAGTCAGATCGGCGGAACCAGAGACCAGCTCGGGGAGGACGTCGTGGATAGCCTCGAGGCAGGCCTCGGACAGCTTACGGGAAGCGATGGCAGCATCAGTAGGCTTGTAGACGGGGAGCTTCTTCTCCCAGCCCTCGGGCAGCTTGCCGGAGAGACGGCGAGCGAGGTCCGCACCCTCGGTCTTGTGCTCGGCCTGGTACTTCTGGAAGAGCTGGTTCCACTCCTGCTCCTTGGCAGCACCCTCAGCGGCGTGCTTGTGGTACTGGTCGTAAACCTGCTGGGGAACAACAAAGCTCTCCTCGGGGTTGAATCCGAAAAGTGCCTTGACGTGCTTAGCATCCTCGGCCTTGAGAGGGTTGCCGTGGACACCGCCGGTTCCGGCAAGCTTAGAGCCGAAGCCAATGGTGGTTGTCAGCTTGATGACGGAGGGCTTGTCAGTAACCTGCTGACACCTGCGGATGGCAGCCTCGATACCCTCGAGGTCGTGGTCACCATCCTTGACCCACTCGGTGTGCCAGCCGTAGGCCTCGAAGCGCTTCATGACATCCTCAGTGAAGGCACACTTGGTGTCACCATCTATGGAGATAAGCCGTCAGCCTTTCATATCTAGCTTGAGGTACTCGAGTCAATCTTACCAATGGAGATGTGGTTGTCATCGTAGATGGCAATCAAGTTGCCAAGCTTAAGGTGACCAGCCATAGAGGCAGCCTCGCTGGCAATACCCTCCATAGCGCAACCATCACCGAAGAACATGTAGGTGTAGTTGTTGAAAAGCTCGAAGCCGGGCTTGTTGAAGACACCACCGGAGTGAGCCTGAGCCATGGCGAGACCAACAGCGTTGGCGAAACCCTGGCCAAGAGGACCAGTGGTGACCTCAATACCGGGGGTGTCGTGAGCCTCGGGGTGACCGGGGGTGATGCTGTCGAGTTGCTACTGAAATGAGTACAGGGCTGTTGTATATGGCTTGGAGGGACTTACACGGAAGTTCTTCAGGTCATCCAAAGAAATCTTGTATCCAAACAGGTGGAGCAGAGCATACTGCAGCATGCAGCCGTGGCCGTTCCTATTTGAGATTAGCCGGAATTCAATAGCACGGCGGTTGATTTTTCGCATGGAAAGGACCAGCCTAGCTTCCAATGACGGAGGAAAGCACATACGAGAGAACGAAACGATCACGGTTGGGCCATTCGGGGTTCTTGGGGTTGAAGTTCATCATGTTCCAGAGAACGTGGGCCACGGGGGCCATGCCCATAGGAGCACCGGGGTGACCGGAGTTGGCCTTAGCAACGGCATCAACCTAATAGCGAGATAAATGTTAGTCAGATTTCCCAGACTGCACGCGTTGAAGCTTCATATGAGGTCCAAGACCCCAACGTAGCTCCACTGGGCGCGTAGAACGTTGTGGCGATTTTCCCGGGAAAAATTAACGTACCGCCAGAAGACGGATGGTGTTGACAGCCAAATGGTCCAGATCAGTGTAACCCATGATGGCGGATTCTAATACCGTTAGAAAGGAAAACCACAAGAAGTCAGTTCAGTACGTACATTGTTGAGTAAAGGGGAGGATTTGGGGGGATGAATGAGAGAAGAAGAGAAGAGGGAGGGGAACGTATTTGTTGGTGGGGGTATGATGTCGGGTGGGGGAGGCGGAGGCCTGCAGCCCAGCAACTTAGCTTACGGAGTTCAGATCGCATTTAGCAGAGAATTTATGGAGGAAATCTATTTGCGGAAGTATTTCTATATCATTTGACAGGCTAAATCAATCCAATTGCTCTCTCTAGACTTGTATAGGTATCTGCTTAGCTGCTATACCTCTCGACCCTATGGGATGAGTCATCAACGAGGGCATGAATATGTATGAAGCAACGACATTGTATATGAACATGCACTCGACCACTTCTGCACTTGTCTCGAAACGCATCAATAGCCGTTTTTTCCGTCCTCACCTCAATGGCCCGCATTTCCGACACTCCTCCATCCACACGTTCTTCTAGTATACACCGGGAGCCGTCCGGAGGACCCTGCTCCGACTCGCAACCGGCCTGTTCACGGAGGGAAATTAGCCGAATTTCTATCTATGACTCCTCAATAACCGTGCCGATGATCAGCTGGTCGACTGAAAAAAATAGCTTTGGTGGCCTGCCTCGAATGCTCCTTGACAGCTCCTTGACGCTTGTCAACGTGGCCGTGCATCGGATTTCCTAATTAGGCCAATCCGAAGAAACATTGCGACACCAATGACAAGATAAATCTGCGAATATAAGTGGAATGGCAATCCATGGGAATTTATAACGCGACCCCCACAGTATGTCGTCGCTGAGA